ACCTCGTAACTCGGAAACGTGGTCGATATTACTACAATCACGTCGTAATTCGTATTTACGAGCACAAGCCGGTTGCGTGGCCGTTGAAGAGGAGCGTGATCGATCGGTGCGCACGAGAGTAACGAAGAATGTTGGTGACTCGGTCGTTTCGGCGAATATATCGACTGCTTTCGTGCCCTTCCCATTTGTTTTACTTCGGTAGATTCGAACGACCGGAATGAATCCCCTGAGTATAACTAAGATCATAGTAGAGTCTGTTGTATTACACGAAAGCTAATATATAAACCGACAGCCTATAAATTTGTTTGCACATCATACATACACATGTGTATAAATATACTTACCAATAAAAATCTTCAAGACATTTTTCTGATTAAAAACGTCTGATCTAACAATTTTTTTTTTTTTACTACCAAATTGATTTGCACTTCCAATCGGAGATCTTCCCCGATGAGGAAGCCGGCAAACTGCTTTACGAAGAAGAGCTGAAGCGAAACTTCGTCATCTCTCCCCAATGATTGTACCGCGGTTAAAGGGATCGTCGTACCGGTGAGATGTCCATCACGAAATTGGACACTAGGGGACTTGTGCGCGTCAACAGAGTGTTGTGCCAACGACTTCGTAATTGCCACAAACACACCCGACAATAACATTCGTTTTTTCGCGGGATGCAGTCGCACAAATTATTACTCCATTGTGAAACACAGCTGAGTCCTTATCCCCAGTATCTGCTTACGAAGGATAAGACGAGATTTAGGACTCGTCGTAAATTGTTCTGAAAACCGAGCCGTATACATTTCGTCTCTTTAATGGTTTCGCTTCGCTATTTCACGCGATATTTCTACATTTTCATTTATCACGTGTCTTTTGTGACAGGCATAAATATACACACACTTATACACACTTATACATAACACAAATTGAACTTATACACCTATCTTCTGTAAAAAATAAAAGTACAAAATCGATTGATGAAGGAAACCGCTAAATATAAATTTTCTCAATTGAAATCATATTTTTGATTTTCTTTTAGTTTATTTGTACGCTATATTTTCTTGAATCTGACGATTTTCAAAACACGATATTTCTTCAGCTGATTGTGGGAAGTTTTATCCGACAAATTATACGGGTCATCATTCCCTCTGCAGAATGTAATCCAATTCGTTCGTGACTTTATCGTTCTCTTCAGATGCTTTGTTCTCTATTTCATCAGCGTGAAAGTGTTTATTCATTGGAAGTTTATCGATACGAGGAAACTATGGAGAACGAGAGAATAATTACTCTTTGCGGTTCGCGATTCTCGTTGTGTGTTTTACCTCCATCACGTTACAATCGCTCGAAGTTTATTATTAACGCGACATAGATAGAATTACACGAGCTTCTCAATTACAAAACGCAAGACGAAAGTAGAATAATTGATTTTATAGTTAACACTCCCTCCAGTGATGGGAACTTAATTTTTTTCTAGTAATATATTAACATTTTTGTCTATGATTACTTTTTTACTTGACATTATAGTAGGATTTTAATTTGGATTTTTTATAACAACATTAATTTGCATTTTTTATTTTAGAGTTCTTTAGTTAGATCATAATTTTTTTTGATCTTGAGAAAAAAAATTGACAAGTCCTTAAAGCGTGTCAATCATTGGGTGTTGTTTTACTCTGTATATAGATCAATAATAAAATACTATTGGTTTGTTAAACTGTTTACATTATTATGTAAGATTCACACTTAAAAAACTACATAGATCTAAATATATTTATAATACTATTATATATAAATATATATATAATAGGTCTAAATATAAAAAATATAGAAAATATTTTTGTTTTTCAAAATATTTTTTAATATTCAACGTATGGCTCTCATTGACCAAAAATTTCACGTTGTTTGAATTTCAAGAGCCTTAAAAATTCTTTATTATTTTTGTTTTTGTTTGTTTTATTTGTTGCATGTAATAATAAACCACAATATTCTTTCAAACAACTGTGTGTAAATATTCTGAGTAAAATTGTTTATATCTTTGTATCTTTCTTGGATATTTTTTGAACAAATAGAGAGGATATATATTAAAAGATATAAAAAAAGAGTATTATATTAAAAGATATAAATAAAAATTTGAATAAAGTTCGACGCGGTAACGCATTAATAAAATATCTTATATATAGAGGCAAAGTTACGCGGATGTTACGATCTTAAATCTCTACCGTGTTGAAAATCGCCGGCAAAGATCTTCGCACGAATCTCCGCGAAAAGAAAAAAGAATGGAAAAACGGCTATAGATCTCCCTTATGAGTTCTGCTGTCGCGGTACATAAATCAGAAGCCAACTCGCAACTCTGCAAGAATTTATCGAGTCTAAACGCCCACGTAATACAATCCCTTTTCTGCTTTGTCGCTATAACATAAATATAGAATAATAAAACATTCGATTTAATGCTATAATACATCTCGCACACGATTCTTAATCCGTTGATTAGATTTACTATGGAAATGACAAGTACGTTTATATTTGAATTGGTTATACAGAGAGCAAGATCTCTCTTTTTCTCTTTCTTTCTCTCTCTCTCTCTCTTGATGTCGCAATCATTTGTTTGTACGTTTCTACACTCAATTCTCGACTTATTGCCCATAAAACGACATAAGATATTCTCAAAAAACACGTTTTCCATTTATCTCAATGAAAATGGAAAAGTGATTAAATAAAGAACAGCTATAGGACAAGTTTTGGAAACAGATGACATTTAGCATCGAGTTGAATGTGACGTTAAATAGAGAGGTGTATATACGAGGCAATGAAACACAGTGGAATTATTTAGCCAATTTCATTACGAGCTATCGCCATTTATCGTGCCAAACATGGTAGAAAGAAAAAGAGAGCGTATTCGCGAGTATGTAGGAATTGAAATGACGAACATTTAATCGCGCCTGTTCGCAGTGAACGCGATTTTATTCAAATCGGACCGTGGCTGTGGAAAACCAGTCTTGTGTTTATTAGTCTTCTCAATGAAATCATAATTAAATTCCTTTGCGCGACTATTTCAGACGTGATCGTATAATTGTATTTAAAAAAAATGTTAAAAAAATAAGAATACTATAAAACAAAACAATATTTTACGCAAAATATTGCGTGTACAATTTTTAAAAAAGTTATTACTTAAAAATTCTAAGAGAGTAATTAATATTATCCGAGTTGACTCTTTCTTTTTTTTTTCTGTTTCGGGAAATTATCAAATTTTCACATTTTGATGCCATCTTCTTCGAGCATTTTATGTACACACGGTTGCGAGCAGTTATCGGATTATTTGTCACTGCGCGTTACTTCGCGCATGACAATCGTATCGCGTTGGATATTTTCGGAACCGAAAGGGTCACGTACGAAACGGACAGCGAAGGTCGACTTTTTTTTTTTCCATCGAGTTTTACCGGCGATTCGCGCTTTTCCGCGCGTGATTTCTGACGCTGCAAAGGGCGCGCGATAGATCTCTCTTTATGGCCGTGTATGTGCGTCACAGTGCATAAATCAATGTTAACGTGGTTGAACACGGCGTGGATTTATCGAACGCGTCTTTCCCCGTGCGTAATGATAAATTATGACGATCGAATGACGGCGAGTCGCCTGCCCTGGTCCGTCGAGAGGGTGACAACGTGCGCGAGCGCGTGTGTGTGCACAGGATGACGTGTAATATGGGGTGCCTCGTCATTTTCGGGAGAACGAGAAGAGAGAGAGAGAGAGGGGTGCCCCGAGTATCGACGGCGACGCGCTGGTTATTATATGCTCGTCGTTTGCTCGCCCCCGATACGGACTTTCCGTAACATAATGGCGTCATCCCCGAGGCGAGTAACGAACGGTCCATCGTGTTACGTTGCGCAAACACAAACTTGCGAAAAGCGGTACTTGCCTGCACGATAATTCCATCCTTCCTGTAGGACGTTGATAAGCAACGTCGGATTTAAATACCTTGCAGGATTTAAATACTTTACAGGATAAAAAATAATGGGTAGATCGAAAAGACTTTGCAGAAGTTTTTTTTTTTTTTGTAATAAAAACTCGCGAAAGAATCAGAAATTGTCTTCCTATTATTCTTTATTTCTCTTCAGTATAATTGATAGCCAACTTTGTAACCGGAGAACGTTTAAGTGTCGTTAGCTCTTTGTTTCTTCGCGAGTATCGACAACGAGTCGGTGGCACTTTTTTCATTCGCAATCTTCCGGCCGGTAACTAGGCGCAATCTCTAACATTTAATTAGAGAGAAACTTTAATCGTAGCGCACTCTAATTAACATCACCGTGAACGTGGGTGGCGGCTGCAGTCGTGTCGGTTCATCTGAAGTATATATGTACATACGTGAACTGTTTCAGCACTGGCATACATAGGCTGACTTTTAGATAGTAGATGTAAGAAAGAAACGTATGGTAACGTTGAATTAATTAACATTGGCATAGTTTTACAAAATCTTGCTATTACATTAGCCTGACAGCGTGAAATCTGTATATATTATGCATATGCGAGACGAGTATCAGCGTTTAATAGACAGTTTCAACGCGCTAATTATACGAAAAGCTAATGAGGTTGTAAACATAAATACGAGATAGTTTGTATCGCACATTATTCCGCCATATCTTTCAAAACAGCGGGAAAAACTTGGTTTTATCTGTTTTTTTGTTTTTAATTTACAATAATATTTTTTTTATTGTTGATAATTTTTATTATCAATATTTTTATATTATTGACAAGAATAGTTTTATGTTATTTTTAGTTATTATTTAGACTATGTATATAATTAATATATATATATAAGTAATATATACACAATATAATTAATCTTTGCAATATGTTTAAAGATTTAACAACTTTGTCTAATGTAAGAGAAAAAATCAACGACATTGACGATGACCGCGTTGAGAAATCTCGATGCGGGACCGAACGTCGAGAGGAGCACAGAAAGCAATTCAATCGTTCTTACGAGAGCGTTTTTCGCGCAATGTCAATTTCAGATACGTCCACGGCAGAGACACGCTCGGCGAAGAATCGTTCGGGAAAATGAGCGCAGCCGTAGAAAACGGCGTGGACGCGTCGAAGCCGCGCGGCGGTGGTGTTTTCTCGAGAGCGTTCGCCAAGCGTGCGCAGCCTTTCGAGGAAGGTGAGTCCGATGACAGCTCCTGGTCACTCCTGGGACAGGTTGCGGTATTACACGGGATTTCCCCGTGCTGGTGCTTGGGAAGATAAACATCCGCGCGCGCGAGGCTTCGTGGCCTCGCACGAAGAGAGCACGTCGGAAATTCGCGCCACACTTACGCGCCACTTTATCTCGTTAATTGCGTCAATTTTCAAGTTTCGAAAGCAAAAACACACGTTGCGCGTCACGTAAGATTGCAATTTATTAATTACGCACGTGCCGCGTATTGCACTTTAGCGGCTGAAATTCACGTTGCATTGATACGTCGTCATTTTGTTCGCATTTAAGTAATATAATATTTTACGACGACGTAATATCATATTTTACGACCGCGTAGTTCCTCGGAGATCGAATATCCTGACGATAATACGTTGCGACACTTGATATGTATAATACATCATCCTGTTACTTTTACTGCCGCGTATGAATCGCACGTGTCTACTTCGGTCTACTGCAGTAGACCTACTACACGCGCGCGACAAGCTCGATATGTTTTCCTGCTGATATAATAGGCTATATAAAGACTCTCGCTTTTACCGTGCAGACGCTGTAATAATATTCGAATACACGAGTTATACATCACTTTATCCCTTATTTATCCAATCGAAACAATGCGTGTATAGCAATGAGCGATGCGAGCAAGAGAAAAAAAAAACATGAGAAAAAATGCTCTGTGCTCGAGAGAGCTTGGGGAAAAAAAAGAAAAAAAAAGAAAAAAAAAACAAACTTCCAATTTACAGTGACGTTAATATTGCAATATTCACGTTTGCTTTGTGTTACATCCTTTTTCTCTTTAATATTCGCGCTACGAATTCGCAGCTTATGGATAATGAATGAAGCCTCCATTGCGCGGAGGCTGCGCTCGCCGGCGAAATAGTCGCATTTATAAAGGATCACTCTGGCGGTTCTCGAGCCCTCTCAGGTGCGCCGATTTTGCCGTAATTCAAAGCCTCCCGCACTACCGTAGAATTCTGGTCTAATTGGAGAGAGAGAATATTTGCCCCGCTTACACTTCGCTTGTAACTCAAAACATTGCTAATCCATTAATCCTGTTTCCAGCGCGCCTGCTCCACGGAAGTCAGACCGGTAAACTGCGCGCTACGGCCGGATATATATTAAGCACAATGTAATTCAGGTAGTCGTGTCACGAGGATTACGGGAACTCGTTGCAATACCGGGTCGCGAGATGCATTAGGATGCATCGCGCAATGTCAGAACGTCTCTCGAGCGCGCGCGCGCGCGCGGCAATACTTTACTTTATTAAAGTTTTTAAGTTCTGTTACTATTACAGGACGATTTTCCGGGATATACGAGCCGCAAACACTATCCAAGAAGTTAATTTATCGGATAGTATTTTGCGACGTTAAAGACAAAACAAACTATACCAATAAAAACTTTATATTGTCTTTTACTATAAAAAAAATTACGAATACAAAATCTGTAGTTTTTATATTTATAAAAAAATTTGTATTTTTGCAATATATCCCATAGGGGTGGGATACATGGTTATTGATGGATGGGAATGTGCGATTCATTTCACAAACATCCCTAAATTACAAAATTGCTATAATCCATTTTTTATTTTCCCTCTCTTACACTTATATATCGCAAAATAACCGCCAAACGTTTTTATGAACCTTGTAGTAATTAGTTTACGTATCCGTAAAATTTGCGCTAATTTATCACGCTGGCGTGATAATCGACTAAATTAACGATGGTTTTGTTAATGGTAACAATAAAAAGCTGAAATCGCAACACAATACTAATGTAACATAAGGGCACGTAACAAGGTGGTTGCACGCAAATTATTCTTCTATTTTTTCTGACTTATGTGGCATAAAATGGGCGCGGCTCAAACCTCGGAGCTCTACCCTGCATGTATACGTATGTATGAAAAAAAAACAAAACAAATTTTTAATTAAAATCAGGAAATACTTTTCGACGAAATTCGTCGAAATTGAGAAGGCGACTGCATGAAATGCGAGAAATCCGACTCCTACCCGGAATGTCTTTTTTGCAATGGAATTTTTTAACTTTTATAAGGAGGTTAAATGAGTAATTTATATGTACGGGGACGCAAGTCAACATTTTAAATGGTATTTTAGAAGGTTCTTCAATTCGAATTTTCAACATGTATTAATTTACACGTTAAAAATATATTCTGCGCACACAATATCCAGCACTTGATTCTCTAAGTCTTATTTCTTGATCTTAGTTTATAATTAATAGAGCCGTTTATGAATATTTGTTTTAAATTTTTAATTTGTATTATGGTATATTTGATAACTTACATTTATATATGTAAAAAATAATAAATAAATATTATATGTAATATATACGTATAAGAGAGAGAGAAAACATAAAAAAACTTTTGGTATTTTTTGCATTAATAATATATATCAAGATTTTATTTACAACGTGAATTCAACAATGTAATTTTGCTAACGTAATCGTCACTTTTTTAACCAGAATTTTGCTATTCCGCATTTACATGATTTGACTATTATTATTAATTCGTCGAATCGGTCAATCAATTGCCTTCGACATTGAGGAAGTGTTGAGTGTGTCGCAAGACTTACGTGACAGATATAAGCGGACCCGAAGAGTCGCGTCGCAACACGCGTCGTGATTATCCCGGAAGCTAGAGCGATACGTGTCGTGGTTACGGACTTCGTCACGGTTCAAACGTGACAAAAATTCGCTTAGCATATAATGTATTACGTAACACGCACACACGCACATCGAGCTTGTTCTTTCCGATATCGGATACGTTTATCCGCGGCTACTCGATTTCTCTAATGTAATTATACGAGCTTCGTGTTCGCGGAAGGTAACTTGAACCAACAAATTCCCATCAATAACCAATCTTTTTGCTCTTCCGAACGCTACCGCTAAAGTTACGCTTTATCTTATGCCGAAACGTTATAAAAGAGTTCCTGTTTCGCATTAGTCCGCCTAAGCTCGGTGCGCGACCTCGATATAGTCTCGCGTTAGTCGGTATAAAAGCTCATAAAGAATCTCGCTTCCGACACACCTACACACATCGTGCACACACCGGCGCGCATAATATCAGAGAGCGCGCGCTGTATATATCACACGAACTCGCGAGACTCCCCGTTGCGCTGTTCGGAAAACGACCGAGGCGCGCTCACTTCTCTCGCTGTGTGTGTTTGCAGTAGACCTACATACAACCCTCGCCGCGACCTGGAAGGATCCATCCGCAAGGAGCCGCGTGTGCACTTCGGCAATACACCTACATCACGCGAGCTGCGAGATTGTACGTGTTTCTATACGGAATAAAAAAAAAAAAAAAAAAAAAAGAGAAAAAAACGACGCGCGGAGTCGTCCCTTCTATCGACGTCGCTCGCGCGGAATATTTCAACGCCGCCGGTCGCCTACTTTCGCGCGGGAGGGCACGTTTTCGCTCCGCGCGCGTTGCACGCGAGATTTATCGTGCCGCGCCGCCGGCTCGTGCCGTCGACGCGACGAGCTGATTCATTCCGGCCTCGTCTCCTCGCATCTGCGGATTCCGGAAACTTCTGAAACAAATTTCAGCTCATGTCGTGACATTTAATTACGCAAATAATATTCTGATGATGTAACTTCTCTCTCTCTCTCTCTCTCTCTCTCTCTCTCTCTCTCTCTCTCTCTCTTTCTCTCGAAAATTTTGTTTAAATTATGATTTAGAATCATTTTGATAGAATTTTTTTTGTTTTTAAGTAAATATCTCGTCCGAAAGAAAATAAAATTTTTTTATCGCGAAGTTTTCAAATTTGTTATTTTAAGCGAAAAAACGATAATTTCTCTAATTCGTGTTTATAAAAAACTTGGACGTATATGCTTTCTTTGCAAGGAGAGAAATATTTTTTGGAAAAGTGTCACCGTTATTAGGATTAATTTTTTAACGTGGAGATATGCTGTTTAATCGAGAATCTCTGGCGCTACCGAGTTTTCTTCTTTGTGCTAAAGTAGTAACGATCGCGCGAGATTATTCGGGGTGAGGATACTCGACGTTTTTTACGTGAGAGTGCTTCCTGTCGTGTTTGAAGAACCGCCACAATCTTGAGATCAGACTTTCGTGAAGAAAAGGGTTCTTTCTGTTTTTCTCTCTCTCTCTCTCTCTCTCTCTCTCTCTCTCTCCCTTTTTCCTGATTTATCTATTCGAGTGCGTTTCTTTCTTCTCATTCGCGATCAATCAGCTTAAAGATGACAGACAGAAATCTGAGCTGACGGTATCACAAGCCGCTTAACCGAAACCACAAAACTGACTGTTAACCCTTTTCTATCTTATATAATCCTCTGCTATCCGGCAAACCGATACAAACACACAGAGAGAACAATTTCTTTAGATTTAACAAAGTTTGTTAAATCCAAACAAAATATTTGATTGGAATAATCGAAACAAGCTGATTTTCAAAACAATACGATTGTTTGATTGAAATAAAATATTTCTTTAAAATTTTTATAGAAAATTATTGCTTCTATATAATTATAAAATTTAAACTTTATAATAAAATAAACATTTTATAATAACAAATAAACATTTATCTTTGTATTTTATATATCTCTGAATATAAGCTTTTTAATTATCTTAAAAACTACCTCGTATGGGAAAAATTCGTTATTGGAAATCAACCAGACTGCGCTCGAACTTAAAACTTCCGTGATGGTTAAACACTCTAACTATTCAGCTACTGAATCTTAGCGATAATTAAGTGCTAAATTAATATTTCAATGTTAAAATCTGCGACACACGACTTTTTTTTAATTTTAGATTGCAACGAGCATCGGAAAATTTGACCAATTATGATTTGAAAATCAAGAAATTGTCAAATTGTCGTGATGCTCGTGTGCCATTCAGCACGAAAAAAGCATGCCGTAGGCTCTGTTATCAAATCAAATATTATTTAATTGAAACAAATTGTTTCAACTGTATTGTTTTCGCCAAATAATATGATAGTTTTCAACAAAACAATAAAATGTTCATTTAAGAAAATTGTTTTTTGGTGCAAGATTATATAAATTGTTGGTCCCGCGCGCGAAAATGCAACAAACATGAGTCAAACAAACTAGAATTATTAAATCTAAAGAAAATTGTTTTCTCCGTGTGAACGTAAATTTATTGAATATTATTATTCTCTTTCTTAAATTGTTTTTAATTTTTTTAAATCATCATCTTGAATTATACAAATTCAACATATTTAGTAACATATCTAATTTTTAAAGAAATGTTAAAACGACTCCCAGTCTTTCTCTCTTCCTCAGTTTCTCGTTATCGTTCAACGCAGCTGCTAAACTGCCTCATTCCTTTTTTTTTTTATATCCACCTGCACTGGAAATGGTTTTCCGTCTTTGCAAAGTTCGGTTTCTCGATCTTTGCGGGCGAAGAGCAATTTTACGACGAGTCGTTCTTCGTGATCTGGCGATAATACGTTCCCTCGTCCTCCGAGGACTTTGCAGGACGCCCAGGGATTCTCTCCGGGAAGATGTTCGGCGATCTACAGTTCGTATCTTATCCACGGGAGAAAGAGAGAGAGAGAGAGAGAGAGAGAGAGAGAGAGAGAAAGAGAAAGAGAAAGAGAAAGAGACCTTTGTCTTTGGCAAACGAGACTTGTCGATAAAACGTGTTCCCCGATGCACTTCGAAGCTTCTCTTACTTCGTTGCAGCGGCAATTTAATTGCATTTAATTGTACCTTCGGGGCAACAAATCGTCCGCTATCTAATCGTTGCCGGGGATCCATCCCCGGACTTTCGTCACAGCGCGTCGATTACGAGCTCGCAAAATGAAAAGCTCGTTTCGTGCTCGGATATGAGTCGCGAAGCTTTTATCGGCGCGTTTATATGAAAAATCACGCGCGCGATTAAACTTCGGAGATTATCGGTAAAATACTGTTTAAATTCTCATTGAGAAATATCAACCCGCGACACATCATGTCGCTCCGTAACGCAATTACATGTTTTCGCGCAATATATACAAATATCTTGCTTTAAGCAATTAAAAATTCCGATAAGCTCGCGGAATTTTAAGCTGCGGCGATGATTTTTGACCGCGTTCAACTCGATCGCGCTAATTTGCAAATCGCGACTCTCCGTATCGATGTCACGTCGTTTCTGCAATCCCGACTTCGGGAGCGAAGTTGAAATACATTTTTAACGAGATATATATCGCGAAATTCCCCGCGTTGCACGGCTTACCGACTCGCTTCGAATTTTGCTTACGCCACATCAAAGCCTCCGCATCGCCAGCTGCATATGCAACTCGCTAAATTTGCGTTTAAGCTCGCGCTGAGTTCCGGAATGTATTATCCGGTATTATAATTCCACCACGAGCGCATGCGCGCGCGCGCGCTCGCTCGTTCACTCACTTACTCACTCGCTCACTCACTCACTTACTCACTCACTCACTCACTCACTCACACACACTCTCTTTCGGCAAGGGAGAGCTGGTCGTTTATCAGGATACAGTTACCGGTTTCCTTTGACAAGACGGGTGGCTATGCAAAAAGCAACTCTGCCTTTGAGACGTAACGAAATTTCCCCGTTAATTCTGTCGACGCGCAACACACACACACACACACGTGGCTTGCAAGCTTATGATAGCATATAATTTAATGGATTTGAAAAAAACGCGACTGCTTAAAGCGCGGTACTTCGTATATATCTCCCACGCTTGGGAAACCACACGCTAAAGCGTTTTCGATCGCTCTCGGCCGTTGAAACATCGAAGGCGCGTGTCTGTCGCTCGATCGCCTCTCTGCGAAAACGACCTTCTCTCACGAACTTGTCGATAACAGTTTGGCAACCCTCGGGCTTTTCCACCTTCGCGCCACGACCACCGACTACCACGGGAATTCAATTATCCCGCCGCTCGAACCGCCGGTCGGATGAAGATAATACGAGACGAACGAGCCGAGAGAGACCGGCCATCTTGGACGAAGTCGGAGTCTGGAAATCCCCTGACTTTCCCGTGTGTTTCGGATGAAAGGCTTAACGCGACCAAATGGCTCACATAGCCCCGCCGAGCATCCTTCATTATATGTACCAACTAGTACCGCAAAGCGGTGTACGTACCACTAAATTGCGTGCTCGGCAATCTTGAACAAAGTGCAAAATGTAACGCCTGAAATGTATTATATATATGATAGATATTTACATAATAGACATATATATATATTGATACATGTGTACACACAATAGATGTCCTTTCATCAGAAACGAAAAGATAGGTGTCTATTTATTTATTTATTTTTTTTTTTTTAAATTTTTTATTTTACTAAGATTTGTTTTATAAGTACGTGCGAATGAATAAATCTGTACAATAATTAAATTTGTTTTCCCAGTTTATAAAGTGCATTCGCATTTTGTTTCGTTTGATTGCAGCTCTCAAGGCTTTAAATCATTTGAACAAAGAGGGCGAGGCGCTTGCACTACAAGATGATCTCACAACGCACCCCACCTTGGCCTTGATGCGGCGCATCCTCGCAGATGCACAGGTAATTATCGCATCTGCAGACATTTTGAGAAAAACATGAAACTTTTTTTCCCCAGCTCTCCTAAACAAACAAACTCCGCCTTTATCTCAGACGGCACACTAGACGTCTGCCAGATGTCTAAATTTGAGTTTTATTCGGTTCAAATCGTATGATGAACATTACATGTTTAAAAAATGTAGATTATTATTGGACGTATAAAGTATATTTTTATTCGGATGTTTAAAAACGATCAACAAATAGACGTACGTTTTTGAAACATTATCGAGCTGTCTGAGATTAAAACATTTCACGTGCAAAAATAATAATAAAAAAAAAAACGATGTAAACAAACGATGCGTGATATAATAATCAGAATGAAGGAAGATAAAATCTGCGTGTATGTGATCGAAACACGCGATTATAAGTCGTCTCACGCAAACCCCGTGGAAACTTGATTCAAGCATCCTTTAGAGCCAAGAGGTTAATTATTGAACAGATAAGAGGCTGTCTATATATCCATTGATATTGAAATCCATTGTCCTAACCGTGAACTGATGGAATATCACAGATTGCGCCAATTGTGTCTCCCGACATGTACAACTGTATACACTTCAAAGTTCTACGTAGAAATGGAGGTACAAAAGACCTCTCTCAGTGCAATAACGGTTTAATAATAATAATTCATAATTTAATAATAATAATTTTAACATCGTTAGAGAATTGCCATAATCGTCTTAAACAAAATTATTCATTTTCTCACAAAATTAATTTTATTTATGAGCTTTTCTAACTTCTCGTATAAAATACAATAAAATGATACAAATTTAACAAGCGTAAAACGCGATTTCTGTAACTGTCGCGACTTCTGAAACCGCGTATTTTATTCAAAATGGCAATAATGTTTCCCCCCATTGTTCGGAGCGACCCTTCCGAGGTCGCGCGCGTCAATTTTCAAGAAAACGAGGAACCGACGATCGAAGGGGTTAATTGTCAGGCGAACGAGGGGTTGCCCTATTGATAGTTGAACGCCTTTGTCCAACGCCGGGCATTGTTACCTGTGCACGCGCCACCCCCGGCTGCGATTTGCCAGCATTTCCCTGCAAGCGTGCTGCTCAAAGTTTATTACGAGAGAGAAGAGATGTTGGATGTTGTTAGGGGAGTGAGAATTGCTCGCGCGCGCGTAGAAAAGAAAAGATCGATCGAAGCTCGCGCCTTTCGTCGATGCGCGAATAACGGTAACAAAATAGGGATAGAAGCAGAAAAAGTGTTTTTTTTTTTTTTTTTTTGTTCTTGCGTGATGGCGTTTATTCGCTTCGTTCAGCTCGTATTTCAGCTCGCGGGAGACCGTTTCGTGTAACAATATGGTTTATATCCTGTAACGTTCGATATACCATATCCTCATCGAAAATGTGTTTGTGAACAATCCTCCGCGGAACAACAACTCCACATTTAAACGGAGTAATCTGATACGCAAACTGTCCACTATATATTTTGCGACATCTAACAATAAAAACAATAAAACGCAGTTAAAGTAAACCATAAAAATTGATATTTTTTTATCAGCCTAATAACTCGGAAAGTTTGATATAACAATCAGTATATATAATGTAAGGTCGTTCGCTTGTGTAACTAATTAAACAAATATCACCTCCGGCTAATTGTGCCCCCTTTAGATGTGGAAGTAAGATGAGGGAGGATTAAGTCGAGAGCGGGTAGTATGTTCTTCTCGTCTAAAATTGGAAGGTCAAAGTCGCACGTCAGAAACATGCAAACTACTCAGCTACAGTCGAAACTGCCGCCTACGTACACTTGCCATGCACGAGTAGGCTTAAGGGGATTCAAAGGACAAACCCCCTGATATAATGACTTTGCCGGCAGGTTGAGCATCACAGAACTACTACTTCGCTGACTCTACTTAAGATTCTTGTGACAAAAACATGTTAATGACGTTAAGACACGTTATATATACACGCGCGCACGCGTAAAAATAATAGTATCTTTCATTTATTTATACTGAGCGATTAATAATATTTTATGTGTTAAAAAATTCGCGCCGCGCGCGAGATGTTGAATGGTCGATATTGATTATATTCGCCGTGCGCGCGAATAAAAGGCGAGCGAGAATGACGTGCACCAAAACTTTCGTTTCGGCGTGTCATTCATTTCGGCGCGTAACGCGCGTCGAAAGCACTCTCTGTTAAAAGAGCCGTCAGACTTGTTAATGTTTGATATAATGATTTTCACAGGACGAATAGATTAATGTTGGCGCGCACGGCTAATTTCGTGGAATATTGTCGACGATGCGACGGTGCAAAACGTTTTATGCAGCATAATGCAAGGGATGCAATTACATCACATAAACAGACAGTTATGCAAACTATCACGTCATTGCTTTAATTATTTCCGTATTATCAAATCATTGTTATTTGACTGAAATATATATATATATATACATTTCATTAAGTTAATATAATATATTGAACGATAGAGGGAGAAAAATATATCAAAATAAAATTAAGGCCAATAGATGGCCTTATGATAGGCCATAAGATGCAGGCCAAATTGTAAGATGTGCATAGGAGTTTTGATGTTAGCATATAAAAACTTTTCTCTCTTTATTAAAAAACTCTAAATTCAGACACTTCGATTCCTAAGGTCGGATTTTCATCGGTGAAAGTTAAAATGCATTAGCGAGAAAGATCGACACATCAGAGTACATAAATAATTATTAAATTAAAAGTAAGAGATTTTTTTAACAATAAGTTGTTAAGTCAATTAAATAAAATTACTGGAACACTCATTCATTACACAGTTGAACAAAACAGAAATAATTTAAAACAGTCAAGTTTTATTCTCACGACTTGAACAAGTATATTTCCGTTCGAGTTCGCATATAGATTAGATTGATAATAACACATCTTCTCGCGGCACTAAAGTGTAAAGCAAAAAAAAAAAAAAAAAGGAAGAGATGTGCAATTCCCGGATTATATAACCAAATCACACCGGGCATCACATCATGCATAAACACGTTATCCGACAAATAGCATTCGGACGTGGCGAACGCGGCTATTTCGGGATTAATGCAATCAAACTGATGGCTCGCAGTTTGCTGACGGTGGGACACGCGCGCTTGATCGTCAGCGTGAAATTAAAATTGGACCGTGCGTGCTTACGTTCCGCAATTAAACGTTGTAAAAATCGCAGAAGCAGTTTGCACGCAATGCGATGTGATGCGAGAACATTTGTTAAATTACGGATTAGCGGAAAGAGCTTTTTGCATTTCGATCGTACATATCACGTATCAATTATCTTACGGTAATTATACGCTCGCGCAAATAACGCAACTGAATATGTAATTATCATAAATTTCAAAATATCATTATTTAGATAAATACATGTGTATTATAACTTTTAAAATTTGTTTTAGAGTGTAGAAAAAGAAAGAAAAATTTTTTAACGAGAAAAAAGAAATATTATATAAGAGATGAGTTTTTTTTCTATAAATATGGAGATATAATCTATTTTTTATCTCAATATGTAGACTAATACATATGTACGCGCACATGTATATATTTTCTTCTTTTATAAATCCATAATAATACGTCTAAAAGGTCTAGACTTTATCCAGCTGTCGTCGCCATTGAACGATCAAACGTCACTGATCTATTCTCCGCAATTGAAAAGTAATCGGCCCTTTGCTACCTTAACGGCACAAACAGTCCTCGAAGCGCGCGTTACGAGCGCGTCTTTGAGCCCAGACATCGGGGAGAGGACAAGTCGCGTTTTCAATCGTGGCTCTCTCTCCTTTCCCCAAAGATGATCAATCGGTCGCCGAGCAATATCCGGCGGAAGGAGAGTTTCCACTTGGCGTTTCAAGACGAAATCGCCCCATTATGCGAGTCGCGTTTGAATTTCGATCTTCTGCGTGTGTCCGCGCGCGCGCGCGCGACAAAGAAAGAGAACACACGAGAGTGGCAGAGCGAGAGAGAAGCGAAACTGCGGAAGAGAAGAGGGCGGCAGCCGCCGCTGTGCGCGCGACCGGGTGGCTGGCAGGACATATAGAAAAGGAGAAACGTGACGAGGCATATGAATCGAGCATAATGTCGCTTTAACGTGCATCGCGGAGCGGATACACGCTGACAGAACCGGTAACAAAGTTTCTCAGCTGCTGGTAGGTATACGGTCGATATACGCGTCCTTCGAAGGTGCGGTATCCTCAAGTTCAAACAGTTCGCGCGCCCGTGACGGAGAAGTGTCGAAAGTTCTACGAAGAGAGTGTGAGAGGTAAAAGTTGATGAAAACGATACGGCAGTCATAAAATGTTCAAATGCGTTTTCTTCAGTTTGTGAAATTTTTCTCATTAACGAAAGTTCGAATACGATCTCGGGGATAACACACGAGTCATCAAAATATTGACGTTTAGGGGTCTCGTTAAGGGGATGTTTCGAGTGTGGTCGATCGTCTGGCGATCGAGAGACAAATTAGAGAAAAGAAACAAGTGTGAAAGAAAACGACGGAAGAAGAGAGCAACGAAGTACGCGAGTGTACTTGGCGACGTCGAGAGTAATAAGGGGGATGTTCCCCGAGAGAGGGATGATCTTGCGATATATGTGACGCTTTTGCGGTCGGAGAGAAACAGGGGACGCTCGTGTCGGTAGGCAGGAATATAAAATTGTTTTGCGCTTAAGTTTTTTTTTGTTTTACGATATTTTCGCTTTGTCGTAAAGCGCTTTTTAGCGATTCGCAGTTTGTACGGATAATGCGCAGCATTAGCTAGCGGACTTTATTACGCAGAGTGGGTTACTTAACCCTTCGCGATCTCTCTCCTTTCACCGAACCCGCCCTCCGGCGACTAATTGATTAGGGTGCGCTGAAGGATGGTAAGATACTTGTGCATATATTAAAATAACCCTTTCGACCAAAGTAACTCATGGCGCATAATTTTGTGTATAATACATATGTACTACATATACGCGATATTTCATTTCTAATAAGAAAAAACTGTGTGTCAGTACCGTTAT